GAATTTAATTCTTATCTGAANAATTTTTATTATGGGTAAATCACAAAGATGATGCTTATTCAATCCCATAGGGTCTATACACACTGGGTTCGGTTGGTAGTAGAACTGAATACCAAATAGTGAAGCTCGCTCACGGGTACTGAATAGTTAGGTGGTTCAGTGCTTCATCCAGTCGTGACTTGAATGAATCGATGCTTGCTTGGGGCACAAACAACTAGAGGTGGAAGAGAGTTCCAGGTGTTACAAACACTGAGGCTGAAATAATGAAGCATGTAGTCGAGTTGGCTCTTTTGGAACAGAAGTTTAAACGGATGTCCTCGGAGGTGACGATTCCTGGATAGCCTTAGTCGAGTACTACATGGGTGATTAGGTTGATGTAGTATTTGATATACGAGGATAATGTCTACCCGTATTCAATGGTATTCAGACGAATAGAGTCCGAGAATTTGCAGCCTTTCACCCTAGGTCGTAGGTTGTAACCCTTTGACCATTTTGGTTGCTGTTCTTTGCGGACGTTCCAGTGCTTTTGGTCGCGAATGAGCCATGGATTCTAAGCCTGTATAGTATACTCAATGTGTGTTCTAATGTATGCTGATAATAAACGGGGCAATAAGTCTGTTTTGAATGATCCAAAAACACGTTTTTATCAATCCAACGTGTTTTATAGCTTTTGAAAACGCTCTTGTGCAATGTGCGGAACATCCTAGGTCCTCACGAACGATAACTCCCAGGTCCTTTTCGTTTGAAGAACGCGGCAATGGCTGAGTTCGAAGTAAGTACGGAAAGTGACCCCTGTGGCGCAGTGATACAACGTTGAATTCAATATTATTAATGATGGACCATCGATAAGCTGCGTCGAGAGTTTCCTGCAAGGTTTCATAATCTTCAAAATATTTCACCGTCCTCCACGTTTTGGCGTCATCAGCAAATAATAATGCCTTTTCTCCAAGGACATCTGGTAAGTCGTTTATGAATGCTAGGAAAAGATACGGACCGAGTACGGATCCTTGTGGAACTCCACAAACAGCCTCAATCGGTCCCGATAGAGAACCATTAACTCTAACCGACACTGTACATTGTTGAAGAAGCTCCTCAATCCAGTCCAGTAGCGGTCCTCGAATACCGTATTTATGGAGTTTTCGCAACAATATATGGTGGTTAGCCCTGTCAAAAGATTTGGAGAGGTCTAATTAGACCACCTCCACTGCCTCTCCTGCGTCGATTGATCTTGACCATTCATCTCGTGCAAGTAGCAGGTTTGTGGTGCGTGAGCGTTTCCTTCGAAACCCGTGTTGGGCCAGCGAAAGGCTGTTCTGCTTCTCAAAATGATCCATCAGAGAATCAGAAACAATCGATTCCATTACATTTGACAGAACACGAAAAAGTGTAACTGGATGGTCGTATGCAGGATCACTTCTACAGCCACTTTTTGTAAATAGGCGAAATGATGCCATTTTTTGCAGGATTGAGGGATATTCGTCCTGTCGAACATTCTTTGGTACAAATGGGCAATTATTTCAGATATGTAATTTGCCAAGGACGTCAGGGTTTGTGGCCGGACGTTGTCTTCCCCTGGAAATGAATTCCGGTGCAGCGCCAATAGTTTGTTTTTAACCGTTTCCGATTGGAACCTGACGGTGGTCAGTTGGGGGTATGGAAACTTGATAGAAGGTGTGAAAGCTGTAATCCGCCTTTGTTACCTGCAGTGAACACTTCGTAGAACTGAACTTTTAGGAATTCGGCTGCTTCAGCAGTAGTAGTGGAAACGTGTCCTGCATGTTTTAGTGCCGGTATTCCATATTTCAATTGTCTGGTAGCATTTATAT